CAAGGATCATACTATAATTACATAAAGTGTGTACCCTTAAACGATTAGAACTTAATTTTAAATTTATACATCTCAAAATAAAGCAAATCCTAATCAGAGCAGGTACCCAAAATTCCTAACTTTCTTATACAAGATCATACCCCTCCCGGAGGGCAGCATTCTTCCATACATATGTATATGATACTCAATCAAACTGTGGTTCCTCCACCACAATTGTTCCATCATTACCTGAAATATAACAGTAAGGATGAATTTCCTTTTCTCATCACTCCAGAACACTAAACCGAAAATTTTTCCAACCTCTAAAATCTAAAACCATATGTAACATTTATAGTCAAACATTTCATTTTTTTCAATAAAGTATCCCACACAGAAATTTCAAACAATTTCCACAAATCACATTACTCAAACTAAAAACACACAATACATGTTTGTGTTTCATTTGTTCATTTTTGCCACATTTGAAATGCTCATGCACCTACGATACAATATCAATCCCATCTTTCAATCCATGAAAGAATCACACATAAGTACAGACAACTCTCACAAACATAACAAAATTACACACGAGCATAAATGACTCACAGAAGTATAGATAGTTGCCGGTTGATCTGCGCATCACAGATACAATGCTTACGCATAACGATCCCTTGGCAAAAAGGCAAAGTCAAAGAGTCAAGTCGGGAGTATAGAGCGTGGCCAAACAATGCACTCTATATTTTCCCAAGATCAATCTGATCTTCTCTTATCTCCTAAGCCCCCGGTGTATCTCCGTACCATCCACACACATATCTCGTCACTGAGTGACACCACCAACTCTTTAACAACAATATATTTGGTAGGAACAAACTCTACATCATACAAACCATATCACTATAGACATAATACCCTATTTTTAGATGACCAACATCTCTGACTTAGACTCAGCACATAGCACAAACATCTTATAGACATCATTTCCACTAACTACCATGATTATGAATGCATTAACTATTCATAATGTTTCTTTATACCATTCTTATTAAGCTTTATTTATTTTTCATCAATTTCAAAAATTTGACAGAGTCTCCTTTGTAATTTGGACATTTCCCAATTTACAAATACATTCAAATCAAATTTATAAACACATTTTCCTGCATCAAACAAGAACAATAAAAATTTGCTGAGGGTCGGACACTCTTGGACTCGGCACACATTGCGATCCATCAAATTTTCTAAACTCTTGTTATTCTAATCTTGTGTCCCAAAATATCTCATTACACTATCATTCTCACATCATACATACTCATAAAATAAATAATAGGTATAGAACTAAAGTTTTGTTTATACTTCTCTAGGAAGAAAAGTTTATCATAAGCATTAGAAAAGTGTAACTTTGGAAAAATTCTTTGCCATCTAAACTATCTCCAAATTCTATGAAATTTTCCAGTCCAAAATACATATATTCTAGGATTATAATAAAAATTATAACTCAAAATTTAAAGATTTCTAAGTCATTCAAAACTTTCCTCCCTTTTTATACATTTTGAAGATTCCACTATCAGGGCATTACTCAAAGATATATTTTTATAAAATAAATTAATGCTCATAAAATTATGAAAATAAATATGCTTAACATATATCTACAATCACCACTATGATAAAAATTTCATCTCAAAAAACTTTAATTTCAATTTTATATGATTTTTCAAAGTTTCTGAGCGGACATAACAATTCTGTTTCACCCAACTCAAAACCTATTTACTTCCAAGATTTTTAATCAAAAATTTACTGGTCAGAAAATTTTGAAATAAATCACACACGAAATAGACATAAAAAGAAACATTTAATCAAAATTTCAGAATTAAATACCAAGTAAATATTTTTACATAATTTCCCAAAGATTCAATTCACATGCAGATTTTTGTCCAACAACATCTCTCAACACATATTTCATCATCTTCCTCTAGAAAAATCCAATTTAAGTGATTTTTATGGCTAACTCTAGGTTTTAACATCCAAGGAATCCATTTCTAAACTCTAAAATATGAAAGGAGCATTGTAGAGTATCTAAATATACTAGAATAGCCATACGAAATTTTTATAAAACATTTTAATTTGGTTCCAATTAATGTAGAAGTGAGATAAATGATGGTTTAGCCTAGGGTTGATGACAAGAAGACTCTCCTTACCTCAAATGAAGCTTTCAAACAAGAAAATAGAGATCCTTACACTACAAAAAAAAAAGCTCAATATCTACGGATAAAAATCTGTAGGTAAAATATATATTACATACGGATATTATCTACGAAATTTTATCCGTATATAAATTATCTATTATCTACGGAATTTACCTACGGATGAGATGATTATGCATTACCTACGGATATAGGAGGTAGGTAATGTTCTTTTACTACTTTACCTACTCATTTACCTACGGATGTGTAATTAAAAAAAAAATAAACCTCCTCACTCGGACCCTCATTTTCACACTTCCTCCGCGCCTCACCCAACATTCCAAACTCCTTCCTTCCTCTCCCTCAATTTCACTAACCTACACTATAACCCGTAGCCCACCTCCTTCACCACAACCTTGACTATAGCCTCCCCACTCTTGAGCACCCCACACGGTACCCTCATTTGAACCCATATACCCAACCCTATTCTCTCCACCACCGGGCTTCTTCCCCATCACCACCACAGCCATACCCGTGCCCTAATTCCACCTTCACTCACCAAAGCTTCTCACCAACGCAGAACCACCCCGCGGTCGCACCCCATCTCAGCTTCCAGCCTCCAGATTCTTGCCCAATCACCCTCACCGGAACCACCACGTCTCATGACCATGGACCCCCCCTTTCGCGGCCTCCACCACCATCTTCACGATGCACCGCCACTCTGAGGTCATCGTCCCCTTTGTTGATCCATTGGTCGCACCTCCTAGCATTTGTTGCTAGCCACCGCGAGGCCAAGTCGCAGTCTCGACCTCACCCTAATCCAGCCACCACCAAAGCTCGTCGTCAGCCGCGACAAACACCACCATCGAGCGTCCCAACCCCCACTCCTCACCACCACCATCGAGCGTCCCAACCCCCACTCCTCACCACCAATGTCTCCACTTTGCTCCACTTCCCTCACCCTGTGTTGAATCTCTCCCTTTGCCCCAAACCACCGCGCATCACTGCCCATAGCGGGCCACCGCGAAACCCAGCCGCAGATTAACTTCCAGGTCACCACGCCACCACACCCCCTGTCGCCCCCTATCACGAGCATCGTTGTAACCCAGAACGTGAATCACCTTGACGCTGGCTGCAGTCACCACCTGCTGCAGTCACCGCTTCTCCTCGGTCCAGTCCACCCCCCCATGGGGCCACTGAGTTTGTCGTGACCTAAAGGTGAGTCAGGGAGGCCACGGGTCAAGCCTAGTGTTTCATATTATTCTACTTTGATATGATTTCTTGCATGCACTTTTCTCTATTCTGGACTGCTTTGTTTAATTTTGATGTGTTTTGGGTGGATTGAGTATTGATGGTTTCGTTTAGTTGATTTCTGTGTTGAGTGGGTTGGTCCATATTGTTTTGAGGGTTTGAGTTGGGTTTTGTCTGATGTGTGTTGTTGTCTGCACTTTGGTGAAAACATACAAATTTCTTTTCTTTTCTTGACCCTATCAAAATTGTGCATTGTGTTTAATGTGACTAATGGCATTGATTCTTTTTTTCTTCATTGTGTTCAACTTTACCGTGCATTATGTAATTTCAGTTTTAAATGTGTCACTAGATAGACAATTGTGATTTGTGTCACTAAATTTTGTTCACTAGGATAGACAATGCACGGATAGACAATTGTGATTTGTGTCCCTTTTTCTGGCATTTAAAATTAATGATATTTTGCAGATTGTACATGGGAATCAATCATGTTGTGGACATATCCTCAGTTTTCTCCTTCAAGCGTACAAATGAGCACTACCTGTTTATCTTCTAGTTTATCTGATACCTGCACTTATAGTTCATAGAAAAGAACTTTCAAAAAGGTGATCATCTAATACAAGTGCTTAGCAACCAATTTTCTCTTCACTTGATCCTCTGTGTTCTTTTAGAAAGCATGTTATATCATGATTTAATTTCTATGAGAGCTATGATAAGTTTTATTATAGATTGTAGTTTTTGAAGTGAGTATATTATCAGTGCCACATATGCTAATTTTTTCATGACAATGGTTTTTCTTGGACAATAAATTATTCCATCTGATATTTCTCTAAACATTCAACTTTAGCTCGAGAGGAATGCTAGTAGCCCACTCTCTAACACAGTCTTCATAATTGGTTAAAATTACTGAAAAAAAAAATCAGGATAGAGAAGCATTAAATGAAAATCAGGATAGAGAAGCATTAAATGAGAAGTGGGAACCACTTAAATGTATGATTTCCAGTCATTTTTTTTGTCAATAATAGTAGTGTAAAAGAGGGTGTTGTTAGTATTCCTCTTAGCGCTATATAAGTGTCATGTAAGTATGACAAATTTAATGAGATTATGTTGTTTTTCTCTTGTTCCTATATCAAAATGCTTGTGTGCAGGCCCTGAACAATATTAGCCAAGGGTCTTTTTGGGACAACGAGATCAAGCTTGTTTTTGTCTGTGTATTGCGCTTCTGCGTGGTAAGCATCCAAAAACTAGTTCATGCGCTACTATATTGTTACTGGTTTTCTTCCTAGTAAATTTGCTAGTTGAGTTTGATTTTTCCAATCATGTTGAAGAATGAAATAGCACGCTGCCCATGTGGAATATGAGGGTCAACATGTTCGCATAAAGTGCCAGTTGAATTGTTCAAGTTTATGTTAAATTCCATCACTGATATATAAAAAGGCTTTGTATATAGTTATGATAAAAACAAACAGATTCTTATATGTAATGGTGAAACAAATACCAGTATCCAATTAATATAGCAATTATTCAAAAGATTTCTATCATTGCTATATACACTAATACACTAATATACATATCATTGCTATCAAAAGATTTCTATCATTCAATTCCACCAGACATTTCACTGCCTAATGCAACCATGGCACTATCTGGGGATGTCGCCGCCGTCAAAACAAGGCAGTCTGAGCGACGCGATGGTTTTTTCGACCCTCTTTGATTTTCGCGTTTTTATAGGTGGTTACAACGTCCTTAGGTTGTCCGATAACCGGGCTAACCTAGAGACGAGGTTTTCGAAAAGTGTTCTTGGGTTGTCCGATAATCGGGCTAACCCAAGAACGGGTTTTGAAGGGTTCGTGGAGTCGCCACCGATGTTTTTACCGGAAACATCGGAAAAGGGGTTTTTAAAAAGGCGTTGGTTTTCGAAAACCAACTTTGGTCATTAGAACCAGAGTTGGGTAAGGGAGTTAGTTACGTGCAAAGGAAGTGTTAGTTCCTTTACGACGCCCCTTTCGGGTTCCCTATGATAGGCCGACTACTTTGGATAAATAATTAAACTGGAAAATTGCGCTTTTACCCTTTTATTATTATGCAGAATTTAAGTTTATGACTACATGGCCCTAACTTCTATGCGTAATTTTAAAAGCGGTAAAATTAGAAAGAGAAAGGATGCACCTCCAAAGCAAGCTTTTTATTTCTCTTCAAAGAGTGGGTGCTTTTTGGCAACCCTTCACTCTACAACTCTCAGAAACTCCGAAAATGCCTCGGAGGGATTCTAAAGAAGATTTAGAACGCTCAAAATACTCCTAAAGACGCTCAGAAACTCTCGAAATGCTTCAGAGGGGTTCTAGAGAGAGAAAATCTAGAGAGAAGGAGGAGCTACTGTGCTTGGTGTGTGGAAATGAGGGGAGGGAGCCCCTATTTATAGGTTTTCACGCCTGACAGTGGCGAGACCGCCGGTCTCGTCTGACAAGGTCGAGACCGCCATCTGGACAATCCAGACCGCCGTCTCGACCATGCAGGGGGTCGAGACCGCCGTCTGGAAAACCCAGACCGCCGTCTCGACTTTTGCAGTGGCGAGACCGCCGTCTGGACAAGCGAAACGGCGGTCTCGTCCCTGGCGTGAGGCGAGACGGCGGTCTGGTCTTCCCAGACGGCGGTCTCGTCCCTTCAGGGCGAGAAACCTTATTTTTCGGGCCGAAAAACCCTCCTATCTTAGTACGGGGGCCTAATAGTCTCTCCTAGTGGCTTGTCAGGCTTCGGCCGTCTTCAAATAGGGGGTCTTCTGACTTTATTTGGAGGCCGGGCAAGATTTGGGGTCTACAGGGGATATACAATTCACCCTTCTAATGATTAAGTGTTGGGTTGGCTTTCCAAATCTAATTCCATACTCATCCCACCCACTTTTTACTGCAATGCAATCATCACCAGAAACAATGTAGCAGTCTTCAATCCTAGTGTTTGTACATGAATCTATGGAGAAGAGAAAAAAAATTAGGAATATAGACAGTGGTTGTCAACTAATATAGCAAATCCAAGTAATGAAAAACATTTTAGTATCAATGCCCCTATTATGACTAGAAAAATTTCAAGTATGTTATCAAACTATAAACTACACAAGAAAGGGAGAAAGGTTAGAAATTTAGTGACGTAAGTTTGCCATCAAAAGTGAAAATAAGTATATAATAGAAAACAAACATTTCACCTGGGTCTATTCCATCTGTGTTGGGAGAGGTCACTGGTGCAAGAATGGTAAGCCCTTTTATAATTATGTTACTGAAGATGTAAACCATGGTCAGAATAATGAAGCACACTATACATCAATAAAAAAAGAGTGCGAAATTTTAATACATTTGATCAGAAAGAACAAGCCTTATAACAAACCTGCTGTAAATTGGATGGACAAACCAGCTTGGGGAATTGACCAAAGTGAGATCTGATATTTGTATTTGATCAGAGTACATGATCTCAATCATGTATGGCCTGCTGAGAGTCAATTGGTTCTTGTGGAACTTGTCCCACCAATAAGATCCTTGACTATCAATTGTACCATTTTGACCTAAAGACCAAATTCAAATAGGTCAGATTAATAATATTTGGCCACCTTAAAACAAACTTAACAACCTTTAATAGCATTCTATTTTTTGGAATAAATAATTACCAGTTATTACAACATCAACGAGGTTAGTCCCAAAAATTAGATTGCTAAACCTTCCACCAGGAGCATCTCTTCCTCTTCCATAAGAAGGTAGTACAGGAAGTTGGGGCCATTCTGATTCATCTTGTTAATGTGGTAATGTAAGTGACCCTTTAGAAGATCATAGAGTCTAAAAATGTAAATGGAAGAGAATGGAGAAAGCAGTGGCTAGAGGCTAAACCTGAGAAGCAAGAAGAACAACACCCTTTTGGAGAAAGAGAGTGAAATGGCTTGTAAGATTGAAGGGTCCCGTTAGCCATTTTCCAGGTGGCACAACAAGTTGTGCACCTCCATCAGAAGCATATTGGCTCAATTTGCTTATTGCAGATCGAAACACCTTCGTGTTCGATGTTTTTCCATCACCAACCCCACCAAATTCTGTCAAAACTGCACTGTGTTTTCTGAAATTTATGGCAGGGTATTCAACGTTGCTCAATCCATTATATTCCCTACATTCTGCTACCTTCACATTTACTGCTCCCAATATTATTATCAAAGAGATCACACCAATCACACCAGCTTGAATTCAAGATATGTGGCTCTATTGAGTGTGAAATGAAAACACCTGGTTTTAGATACTTGTATTTTTTTTCTTGTGTTCAATTGTTATTGTCAATGCTCTTAGCGAAGTAATGTAAAAGGAAAAATTGTAATTAGATCCCAACATCCCCACCACGCTCCGCAGCCCCATGGCTCACATGGACTTGCTATGCTCTAAACACTACAATGCCTGCATCACCACCCCACTCCTCGGTTACAGTTGAGAAACATTGTGGAAGGATTTGATACTAATTGATAAGCATCTTAGGGAAGCCACACTACAAAAGCTGGCTGCTATTGTAGTTGAAGAGCCTAAAACCTTATGATCCCCACATTTTCCATACCTTGCAATCGAATCTTAACACATTATGTTTTTTTGTTAAATGGTTCATGATCTGATACCATGTTATGAATCATCTAATGACATATTAAATGGTTCATGAGCTTTTTAAAATGCAGAGATTGTTGATATTGAAGCTTCACAAAAGATAGAAGGATAAAGGGAAGGAAGTGGCTGCTCATCCAATTTCAAGATCTTTGTTAGTAGGTAAGTAATTACCTTTGACTTTTCTATATTGAATTTTAAATAATGATTGATTGGTCGGCTATGCATGCCATGTATTCAGTGAGGAATTGGGGGGTAGTAAATGTAACATGGCTAGTGGAAGAATTGATTTGTTTGATTATTTTTTTCAATTTGTTTGCATTGATTCAGGATGAAGATGAGATTAGTTATTTAGTTATTCTAACCTTGTTGGCTAAGAGGATTACATGTGTCCTACATGGAATGGCCTTCAAGTTATTATACTGGTCATTACCAAACACTTGTCAAAATCCATTCTAAGTTGGTAATTTAATTAGTGTAACATTGAAGTTCATATTTTGTAGAACATGGATCAATTTCATGAAAATCGCCACTGGATGTATGATCGAAGCCATAGTAAAAGAGGTGGTTTAAAACAAAGTTTTATTAATGGTGTTGAAGAGTTTGTCATGAAAGCTTCTCAACAAGTTTGTTATCAAAATGAAGTCCAAACGAGATGTCCATGCAATAAATGTCAATGTACAAAGATCTTGCCAATGGAAATGGTTACACTTCACCTTTATAAAAATGGTTTCATGCCTGATTATTATGTTTGGGTTGATCACGGTGAGCAAATGCCTCATGCTAACAAAAATTGGACACATGCTTCAAGTAGTGAGTTACATTTTTCAGAAGATGAGTCATTGATGGCAATGCAGGACATGGTGTATGACGCACTTAGGCAACATGAAACATTTCAACCATCAGAGCCAAATATCATGGAAGAGCCTCCAAATGAAGAAGCTCAAAGATTTTATGATTTGTTGTTGGAAGCGAATAAACCTTTGTTTGAAGGTGCTTTAGACTCTAAATTGTCCATATGTGTAAGATTGTTAGCTTGCAAATCTAATTGGCATGTTCCTGATCATGCTTTAAATTTCATTATAAAAATGCTTTTGGATGTAACACCCAACAAAGATAGTTTACCAAAAAGCTATTATGATGCGAAGAGGTTAGTTTCAAAGTTGGGATTGGAGGCTAAAAGGATCGATTGTTGTGTTAATGGTTGTATGCTTTTTTATGATAATGGTTACGGGAAGAATGATGGAGCTTTACTACAATGTAAATTTTGTCATAAGCCTAGGTATCATGCCCCAAAACTTGAAACTCGTAAAAATAAACCAATTCCGATTAAGAGCATGCTCTATTTACCTATAATTCCAAGGTTAAAGAGGTTGTATGCATCCATGCAAACGGCTGGACAAATGACATGGCACTATGACAATAAAAGACCAGAAGGTGTGTTGTGTCATCCATCTGATGGTAAAGCTTGGAAGCATTTTGATCAAGTTTATCCAGATTTTGCTGCTGAACCATGTAATGTAAGACTAGGTCTATGTTCTGATGGATTTAATCCATATATTCAAGCATCTGCCACCCCATATTCTTGTTGGCCAGTAATTATGACCCCATATAATCTTCCTCCTGAAATATGTATGTCCAGACCTTATATGTTTTTGACATGCCTCATTCCCGGTCCACGTAATCCAAAGTCATGTATTGATGTGTATTTACAACCTTTGATAGATGATCTGAAGCAATTGTGGAGAGGAATTGAAACATACGATATTTCAAGGAAGCAAAATTTTGTAATGAGGGCTAGTTTGATGTGGACTATTAATGATTTTCCTGCATATGGTATGTTGTCAGGTTGGGGGACTCAAGGTAAACTAGCCTGCCTGCATTGCATGGGGGATACAAAGGCCTTTACATTGCAGAATGGGAGGAAAAATAGTTGGTTTGATTCACACCGTAGGTTCTTGCACAAAAATCATGTATTTAGAAGGAATAAAAAAGTTTTCAGAAAGGGGAAAACTGAAACTGGTGACCCACCATGTACATTAACATCTGAGCAAGTTTGGAGTATAATTATGGATGTACCCAAAGTCATAGATTACCCTCATATGAACAAGTTACCAGGCTATGGGGAATGACATAATTGGACAAAAATAAGTATATTTTGGGATTTTCCCTATTGGAAGGATAATTTTTTGAGGCACAATCTTGATGTTATGCACATAGAAAAAAATTTCTTTGACAATATATTCAACACTGTCATGAATGTCAAAGGTAAGACAAAAGATAATGATAAGGCAAGGAAGGACCTAACTTTGTATTGTTATAGACTAGATTTAGAGTTGAAGTTGCAGGCTAATGGGAAGATGGTAAAGCCAAAAGCAAATTATACTTTAACTGCAGAGGAAGCAAAGTTAGTTTATCTTTGGATCAAGGAACTTAGAATGCCTGATGGTTATTCATCCAACTTAGCAAGATGTGTCAATGTAGACAAGGGAAGGATGCATGGGATGAAGAGCCACGATTGTCATATTTTTATGGAGTGTTTACTCCCTATTGCATTTAGTTCATTACCAGTGCATGCTTGGAACCCTCTTACTGAACTGAGCCATTTTTTTAAAGATTTGTGTTCTAGAACATTGAGGCATCATGACTTGGCTAAAATGGAAGAAAATATTCCAATAATTCTTTGTAAGTTGGAGAGAATATTTCCCCCTGCATTCTTTGATTCAATGGAGCACTTACCTATTCCTCTTGTGTATGAAGCCAAACTTGGTGGACCAGTTCAATATAGATGGATGTATCCATTTGAAAGGTAAGAAGACTATCATTGATTATGCACAAAATTTGATTTACTAAATATTGAGCTAATACCATCCTCATTTCAGTGATTTTATAGATTCATGGGTGATTCTAAACGATCAGTAAAAAATAAAGCTCGTGTTGAAGGATCAATTTATGCCTCATACTTGCATCGAGAGACAACTCACTTTTGTTCCCATTATTTCAAGAACTTCATTTTATCACCACAGAATAAGACAAATGAAATACAAGTTGAAATTGAAAGGGATCCATCAAGGTTATCTGTCTTTAACGTGCTTGGTCGTCACTCAGGAAAGACATCAATTCATTGGTTAACCCAAAAAGAGTGGAACTCGGCTCATGTTCATGTCTTGATCAACTGTACCGAAATTAAGTCATACCTTGAGTGAGTATTTCAAACACTATATTTCATAATTATATCATTTTCTTATTTGATTAAATTGTTCTCCATCCTTCTCCTATCTTTTCATAGTTCCTTCTTGCAATCTGGTCAACCCAATGACTCAAATGTGTCAAATCACATACATAGACATTTTCCTCAATGGTTTAAGTACCAAGTATGTATGGTTACATTAATAACTTAGTTTATTACAATATGCTTAAGAACATATGACTGTACCTTCTTTACATTTGTAGGTTCATAGTGAGCCTTTAAGTGTAACAAACATGCACTTAAGGGAGTTGTCGATTGGTCCTTTCACATGTGTCAATAAATGGCACACATACTTTGTCAATGGATACAAATTTCACACTCATGCTTGGACACAGGGAAAAAAAACCATTAATAGTGGTGTACATGTAAAAGGCCTTACAGAAGGGGGTGAAGATGATTTTTATGGCATCATTCAACACATATATGAGTTGCAATATAATACTTCAACCTCCCCGAAGAAAGTGGTGGTATTTTATTGTGAATGGTTTGATCCATCACATAGAGGTACATTAGTGGATCCTAAATATGGAACTGTAGACATTCACATAGATAGAAGATATTTACCATTTGATCCTTTTATCTTGGCACATAATGTTAGACAAGTATATTATATCCCATATCCGAGATCAAGAAAGGACAAAGAAGGGTGGTATGTTGCTATAAAAACAAAGCCTAGAGGTCGCATAGAATCTCAAGACATGGAAGATGATGTTCCTTACCAAATGGATGAAATGTCCCATGTAAATGAAGCTATTGAAGTTGAAGGTGTTTTTGGATTGCAACATTCACAAGTTGATGTTGAAGTAGTCCAGGAAGAGGAAGAGGACGAGGACGAGGAACATGAAGAGGAAGAGGAAGAAGAAGAAGAAGAAGAAGAAGAAGAAGAAGAAGAAGAAGAAGAAGAAGAAGAAGAAGAAGAGGAAGAGGACGAGGATGAGGAAGAGGACGAGGAAGAGGACGAGCAAGAGGAAGAGGGAGAAGATGAAGATGAAGATGAATAGGATTCGTGTAGTTAAGAAATTGTTCTTTATGAGTTAATTTTTATATTGCATATTATGTATGACGTTATTCCTTCGCATAATTGACTATATAAATTTCTTATGTACAGATATGTCATCAGGAGGATGTGACTCACCCCAACCTCCCATGTCTCATCCCAAAAAGGGGAAAAAAGTAACGAAACGAAAAAAACCATGCTATATACTTAAAATAAATGTCCCTCCCCCACCTGTAGCTCCTGCACCTATACCTTCTTCATCTGTAGGTGCTGAGAATATACATGCCCATACAAACAATATTGCACCTACAACCACTTCTGCCCCATCCCCAGTTGATGCACCCAACCCTAGTCCATCACCTGTCATTGCATCAGCACCTTCCCCAGGAGCTACATTGCCTTTAGTATTATCAGTGCCTTCTAGAGTCCATCATACACTAGCTCGGGAAGACCAAGAAGTGCATATTCAGGAAGGTGACGCACAATCAGACATTGAGGAGGATCATCCACTTGGCACTAATCTTCCTATCATATCACCTTATGGTCTAGGGTAATAATTAAGTTAAAATTATATCATTCCCATTATTTGCAAGTATTAGGAAATTGTGATTATTATTTAATTTAATTATTTGGCGAAGGTTCCATCCATGTTGGGTTGCATCACAAGCTATAACAATGACTATTAAGCAACAATATTCTAAGCCATGGCTGACATGGGGTTCAATGACCGATGTTGAAAAAGAGACATTCTTTCAGCGGTTTAAAGTAAGTTTTCTTATATTTAGGCTGATGAATTTTTTTTATTACTTACATTCATTGACACAATTCTTATTATTTGTTTGTTTGTGTAAATCATTTGCAAAGAGAAAGGTCACCTGGAGACCTGAAGATGAGGACAGGATTCGAAAGAATTTTCACTCAAAGGCCTCACATAGGCTATCTGAAATGTTCAAAGAGGCTAGAAGGACAGGAAAGAAGCCCTATTGGATGTTTGATGATGTGTGGAAGACTCTGTTGAACAAGTGGAACTCAACTCATTATCGTGCAAAGTGTGGACAAGCTCAAAAGAATTGAGCTTCTGAGATGGGTGGTAGTTTACACATAGGTGGTTCTATTAGTATGTATGATCACGCCATTCGTATGGTAAATATGCAATTATAACATAAGTTTCTTTCTTTCTTTCATTTCTTATGATATGTTATTAATTATGTTTTTTTGCAGGAAAAGGAGTTGGGTCGTCCTGCACATATTGATGAGGTTTTCAAATAGACTCATATACGAAAGGTTAATGGTGAATTTGTTGATGAAAGGTCTAGAAAAACTCATGTGAGTTGAGAACTTATTTAATATTACTCTCTTATATGTTATGATAGATACGTGTTGTATAACGTACATAATTTTTATTTATATGTTAATAGGAAGAATTTCATAGAAGATACTCTCAGGCTAGATCTGATGCAGCATCCTGTGTTGCTGAAACTGAGTCATCTCCATTAGATCCTATAGAGGAGGAGAGAATAAGGACTGAAAGTTGGATTCTTACTGCAGGTGGCAACAAAAAAGGTCGGATCTATGGTGTTGGAGAACTTGCCCATAATTTTAGGCCTGGAGATACCCTCTCATATTCAGGATCTACTGATTCTCGTGACATTACGCAATTAAAGGAACAAGTGCTTAGTTATAGGGAGGATAATGAAAGATTGAGCCGCCAATTACAAACACTTGTCAGTGTTGTCCTTCCTTTACTTCCACCCGATGCCCGACAAGTATTTCAACAACAACCTTCCCAACAAGGATCACAACAACAATCACAGGAGCACAAGAGCAGCAACAACAACAATCACAACATCAACCAGCTTTCGCAGAGCAGCCTCAAAATGAACAAGGACATTACTCAAATTATTAAGACACTCAAACAATATTGTCATAATATTTATTATAATACTTCTTTGGATTTATATGTTCTTAGATATTTTGAATGACTATTTGATGCATGCTAATATTAGGATTTGTGTTTGATATTTGAATATGCACTTGGTGCATATCAATATTATGGAATATTGTTAAATTTGATATCTAAATACTTTGTGTGTAATATGTACGTAATTAATAGATAAAATTTAGTTAAATCATTGGTGGTGATAAAATTTTATAATGAACGTGGTAATTACCTACGGATTTTATCCATAGGTAATTATCTACGGATTCTGTTCGTAGGTAATTAGCTACGGATTACAATCCATAGGTAATTACCCACGGATGACATTACCTATGGACAATAATTCCGTAGGTAATTACCTACGACCATATTACATACGGATTTCCTACGGAAAAAAATCTGTAGATAAAATGACATTATCTATGGATTTTTACCATTACCTACGGATTTTTGCCGTAGATAATCAACTTTTTTTGTAGTGTTAGTTCAAGAAAAGTTTGTCTCCTATAAGCATCAAAATGACCATATAATTGAGATTAAGAAGATTTTAGGAGATAATATTGAAATCCAATGCTTTAATTTCATGGATCTTACTCTTAATTGCAAAAAGGATGAACCAAGATGGTGTGGGCAAGCAAAATCAAGCTTCTCTTCTTCCTCCCGTGCTCCCAAAATGGCTTCCGTAAGTGAGAAAGAAAATTGGTCTTTCTCTTCTTTAAATTTAACCTCCTTTCCAAAATTACCCTCACTTACTTTTTCACTTACCAATTAAATCCTTTCATCAATGGGAAATTATATTACTAATTTTGCTTAATGATATTACTCTTATTATTATTATTACTTCATTTTAAACTCAATTTTAAATTTATCTATTTCACTCTATTAAAAATTTCATAATATATATATATATATATATATATTATTTATTAATATCTTTAAAAATTATCAAGTCTTAAAATAACTCATAATACCATTTTATTAAAGTTAATGACAAAATATTTTATTATATTAATGAAATATTTTTGGGAAATACTGGATGTTACAGAAAACGATTAAAAGAAATCTTGGAGCTCTCATATTCGTGTGTTTTTCTGAGCATTCATACACATTCATATCATAAAGCGCTTTCATCAAGATTGTTGAAAGATCTTCAAGAGAGAAAGTTTTGTGTTAGGAAATTTGCTTCTGGACCTCTGTATTACAAAAGCTCCTGTCTAGGTTTATCCTTTCCAATACTTGTGCAAATTTTAAGTGTGTAGATTGGGTTTGAATCTGCACTAGTTACAGCGACTGGGTTTGGTTGCTGGGTAGTTTTCAAGAGTCTATCTTGTGGTGTTGTAAGGTAGATCTTGGGGTAGATTGGTTTGTATCTACAAGTTTGTATTTTCACTTGGTATTAGTGGAACTTGACAGATTTGTCAAGAACTGGATGTAGCTCTTCGGAAGAGTGAACCAGTATAAAAATTCTTGTGTTGTATTTCTGCATTTCTCTCTTTTCATTTCTATTTTATATTCTTACTTTGTTAAAAACCAAATCTGCCTAATAAAAGATTGGATAAAGATTAATCATTCTTCCACAAAGAAAGCATTTTTTGAAAAAGGTTTCAAAGTTCAATTCACCCCCCCTCTTGAACTCAACCATTAATTCTTACTAGGCTCCATATTAGGATAGGAAGGTCTTTTGTACACGAAAATAAGAGAAATCTCGCCAAGAGCCCGAGACAGTCATCTCACCTTATAAAGGCGAGACGACTGTCTCGATTGGCGAGATGGTTGTCTCGCCTGATAAGGGTCGAGACGATCGTCTCACCTGACAAGGGTCGAGACGGCCGTCTCGACCTAATTGGAACAGAAACCTATAAATAGGTCCTCGCCCCCCCCCCCCCACCCCCTCATTTCACACAATTCACACAAATCTCACAATTCTTACACTCCTACTACTCTCTTGGAAGTTTTTTAACACTTGAGAGTAACTCTCAGCACTTTCCAGAGTTCGAGAGCCTTCTGATTTTCGTTTAAAGTAGAAATCGGTTACGGAAGTCTCCCAATGAGACGTTCGACACTCGGTAGAGTGTTCTTTTTCTTTATTCAAGGAAAGGAGCGTGCTTGTAGAGTGCGGGGACAACCAAAAAGCTTCGTCAAGTCTTCAAGAGTTAATATAAAAGCTCGCTTCGGAGGTTTCATTTCTATTCTCTCTCCTTTACCACTTTCTTTATCGCTTTCCTTGTATGCATTAGATAATAGGATCATGTAGATATTTAAAATTCTGCAAGTAGATAAATAAATAGGGTAAAAGCATATTTTCTTAGTCTTTATTTTATAAACTAATCCATCATAGGGAACCCGAAAGGGGCGTTGTGGGGTGCTAACACCTTCCCCACACGTAACTAACTCCCTTACCCAACTCTGGTTGTAATGGCCAAAGTTGATTTTCCAAAAACCAACGCCTTTTTCTTCCTTTTTCAATGTTTACGGTAAAAACATCGGTAGCGACTCCATCGAACCTTTTTGAAAACCTTGCCTTTAGATCCAGCCCGGTTATCGAAAAACCTAAAGGCGTTAAACATCTTCTTTAAAAAATGTGAGTCATATCAAAACCATCACGCTGCTCTGACCGCCTCTTTTGATGGCGGCGACAACTCCTTTGATGTGGTAGTTGACCCTTCGGTTAATGAAGATTTTCCCTCGGGATGCTCCTTTGATGCGGCAGTTGACCCCTCAGGTGGTGAATGTGTAGTATACTTTTGTCTTTAGGACCCTCCCATGCTGCGAAAGTTGACCCTTCAGACGATAAAGGTGGATTGTGTCGTCCGAATACCCTTTTGCAACGGGGCTGATCCTTCGGACTATGTGTGTAAATCCTGCCTTCAGGATACTCCTTTGCAACGGAGTTGATCCTTCTGGCGCTAGATATGAAGGTATTGTCTTCAGGATACTCCTTTGCAACAGAGTTGATCCTTCAGAAGATGTATGGAACTCTGTCTTCTAGATGCCCCTTTTGTTGTGGTGGTTGATCCTTTTGATAGAGAAAGTGGTGGCGGCTTACTGCTCTTGCTCATGCTCTGACTCCATGGGGTGTGATTTTTGTTTGAAAATGTATTTTTGGCTTTTTTATGTATCCATCTAACTTTTTTTGTCGGGGATTCTCGATGAATGCCTCTTAAGTAGGAAGGAATCCACTGAGGATTTGTTGATTTAGATGGTGTCTCTGAATAGGCAGATGCTTCATCGGAAGTGAAGGTTTTTGGCTTGTATTGTTTTGCCTCTGAGTAGGCTGATATTCCCTTCGGGGATCTTGGCTCTATGCTTGCTAGGTTTTTCCTACGCATAGGTGAATGACTCACTGAGGATAAGTCTTTGAAGATTGCCTTTGCGGTAGGCTCACTGGGGATAGGTTCCTCTTTTTGGGGATCCGCTGGGAAAATTTTTGTTTCCCTGGGGATCTAATTTTGGTAGCCCTCTAGGGGGAATGGAGTCTTGCCTCCTTGATTGTGTTGGGGAAGGGATTTTAAGAAGCCTTTATTCTCCCTTGGTGGATGTGGTGGAGAATGATTTGAGTATGCTTGATGACTCGTCGTGGCAATGATGTTGAGTCGTGTAAAGGTGTTTTTGTTTGCCTCTGGAGTAGGCAATGATCCGCTTGGGGATAGAGCCTTTCTGTCAGCTCTGTTTTGGTTAGAAAAATGCCTTCTCTTTATTTGGTGGAAGGATGGCGGTTGGAGCTTTTAATTCTGGACGCTCTTCTATTTAATTTGAGTTGTTTGATGATGACGAAGTTGTGCTTGGCACTTCTTGTCTTCAATCACAAACATGGAGCCTAGTCTCCTCATATGCATGATTAGTAAAAAAGTTTAATTTTCATGATTTTGACAAAGTCT